TCCAGCTCTGCTCTGTGAGGCAAAGCTGGCCTGGAAGCACCCGGAGCCATTCACCACCCCAAGGAGCTCAGATTCTCTTTTCCTCAGTTATCTTCCACCTCAGCAAAGCAGGACCTGAGCTGAGCACAACTCCTTCCCTGCTTCTTCCTCTCCCTGCAGAGCACACATTTCCTGGCTCAAAACCCTCCTTGAGGACAGAAATCAGCCTCGCTGGTTAATGACCAATATTAGGAAATAAAACCCAAACCAGCCCGTTTAACACAGGCAACACATTCTGTCTGCATGGCTTGGTGTTTGCTCCTGCAACAGACAAACTCAAATCACAAATTCACGTCTGAATACCTGAACTTCCTCTTCTCTGCAACTCTTTTTCAGGGATGTGCCACGACAGATGCTTGGGCCCACGGTGTGGCAGGGCAGGGGCAGTTCCAGGGGACAGTAACACCTTCAGGAGTGTCCAGGATGGGCAAACATTGTCCCTGGAAGGACCTGGAGCCTTTCCCAGCCTGCTGTGCCAGGTGCCTGCTCCAGCCCCAGGAGCAGCCTCCCAAAACCCTTCCCAGGTAAAACCATATCCATGCAAACCCTCTGAGCAGAACTCTGCATTTTCCAAACCCATATTCCATACGGGGTCCATCTGCCTCCTAGAAGAAAATCCCCCCAAAACCCCTCAGAAATGTCTGCTGAGCACCATGAACCCCTCCTGCAGCAAGGGCCAGCTGCCAATCCCCCCAAAACCCCTCAAATGTCTGCTGAGCACCATGAACCCCTCCTGCAGCAGGGGCCAGCTGACAATCCCCCCCAAAACCCCCCAGCAATGTCTGCTGAGCACCATGAACCCCTCCTGCAGCAGGGGCCAGCTGCCACTGGCAGGGGTTTCCTGACCAACTGTAATTAGAGCTTGGGCCAACACAGTTTATCCCTTAAATTCTGTCACTTCCCTGAAAACACCTTGTGGAAACACAAACCAAGAGTGCTCCCATTTATCCCCCCCAAAACCCCTCAGAAATGTCTGCTGAGCACCATGAACCCCTCCTGCAGCAGGGGCCAGCTGCCACTGGCAGGGGTTTCCTGACCAACTGTAATTAGAGCTTGGGCCAACACAGTTTATCCCTTAAATTCTGTCACTTCCCTGAAAACACCTTGTGGAAACACAAACCAAGAGTGCTCCCATTTCAGGGGAGGCCTGGGGGGCAGCAGCAGTTGGGCTGCTGTGAGGTGAAGGGTTTCCACAGCCGTGGGTTTGGCAGGGACCCAGAAGTGTGCCCTTGGCTCTCTGGGGAGCACGTTCCCATTTCCACACAGCCCCAGCCGTGTTCCACCCTGACTCTGGAACTCTGGGGTCAGTCGTGGCATTGCCAGGGATCCCCTCACAGGCAGGATGTGCAGGATGACAAAAGGGAGACAAAGCCCACAGTTGTGACCATTTATCCATGACATAAAAAGCAAACATGTACACATAACCCTGAGCATGCATTGCCCTGCATGGCTCCCTCAAAAACAACCCCAAAGCTCTGCTCAGGACCATTGCCACGGCTCAGGAGTCTGCACTGGCAGATCTCTGGGGCTGGCAGAGGGACACAGCCCCTGTAAGGTGACACACCTGCCTGGCATTGGCTTTCCACAGGTTCTGGGTCACAGCAGGGCAGGGCTGAGCACAGCAGCTGCCAGGGTGCCAGCCCCGAGCAGGGACACTGGGCATCCCCAGCAGCACACTGAACTAAACATTTTCCTTTCTAATCATCACCAGCTAGGAAGCCAGGCTCAGGAAATCACTGCACTCTTTCTTCCAGATGGAGAAACAATCCCAAAACTCCTCTGCGAGGCAGCAAGTCCCGAAGTCTGACTGGGACATTGTCCTTTGTAAACAAACCAACTATTATTCCTCCATCACAATGCTCCATACAAGATTAATTCAGATTTAAGAACTGCAGTCCTGCTCCCCTCTCCACTGCCCACCAGGCTCTCACTCCAGCTGAATTCACTCTTCTCCTGGGAGGAGAATTTTACTTTTTCCCAGTTATGCCAGAAGACCAAGGCTGTTCTGAGCCTTTGGGGCTGGGTTTTCACCTGAGGACATGAATGAAAAGGTTCCCTCCCAGACAGCCACCCCCAATTCCCTGCTCCTCCCTGTCCTGGGTACCTTGGATGTGAGCAGCAACACTCCCAGACGTGGGAACAGCAGCTGCACCACCACGGAACTGCCCAGTTCCTTCAGCTTTCCTTTCCCACCTTAAGTGCACTGCACCAAGGGAGAAGGGGATTCAAAGGAATTATAATCACAGGTATTGGAGCCAAGGCAAGCTGCTGCCACACCTCCCCCCAGTGCCACGAGCCTCGTGTGCCCCCCTGTCCCCAGAGCTCCTGGGGAGTCTCCTGGGAAAGGGGAGGAAGGAAAGGGGGTGCCTGAGCTGCCTGGCCTGGAAAGGATTCCCAGGAGTGCTGGAAGGGCTCTGCTGCTGCTCCTCACCGACTACATTCCACTGCAGGCAGGTAATGCTATTTTTGTTCCTCGAGCTGTACCTGTTCTACTTTTTAAATTCTCATCAGAGAGGGAAAAAAAGGGGAGTTTTTGGTGCATAATGACCCAAGCTCTGACGCCAGACAGGCCCAGCAACCCCCTGACTGAAAACAGTGTTGAGTAACTCAGTGAGAGCTTGGCTAATTCATTCATCATAGGATTCTGACACTTAAAATACTATTTTAATGCTCCTGAGACAAACCCTGATTGTTCAGGGCTCTTTTGGGATGCTATATTTGAATCATGATTGGAAAAAGAAGCCATGCCAAGTTGTACCTGGAAACACGGAGCTGTGTCACACGTCCAGGGAACATCCCGGCGTGTTTTCCTCTCTTCCCAGTCCCAGCCAGCTAATCTCCTTTCTGCATTACACAACAGCTCGTGTAATCCCAAATTTACCACCCCAGTCCTGCCCTCGCAGCTCTGGCTTCACAGAGAGGGAGCTCACGCCTCATCTCTGCCCCTTGAATGAAAAGAAACTCGGTTTGCCTTTCAACAACCCGGAACAACACGTGGATGCTGCATTCAGGAAATTCTGGCACTGAGGCCAAAATCCTTCCGGAGTTCTTTCCTCGGGATTCTCCCAAACACAGCCCCACAACTGCCTCAGCATTGCAAAAGCTCCTCGCTCGTTAGATTAAAGATAATGTAAAGATATTCATTCTGACTCACACGAGGAAGTCGAGTCCTAAATTTTGACCAAATCCCAAAGTTCATGATTCAGGGGGCAAGATAACTGCAGTGAGCACAGCGCCAGATCCCCAGAGCCCCGGGCAGCAAAGCCCTCTGGTTCCAAAGGGCTCAGGGAGCCTGTACAAACCCATGGAGTATTTCACTGCCAGTCCCTTTATACACTCCATCCCTGGAATCCTTTTCCTAAAACCCAGGGCAGCAAAGCCCTCTGGTTCTGAAGAGCTCAGTGACCCTGTACAGACCCATGGAGTATTTCACTGCCAGTCCCTTTATACACTCCATCCCTGGAATCCTTTTCCTAAAACCCAGGGCAGCAAAGCCCTCTGGTTCTGAAGAGCTCAGTGACCCTGTACAGACCCATGGAGTATTTCACTGCCAGTCCCACCGTTCCCTTTACACATCCCATCCCTGGAATTCTTTCCCTAAAAGCCAGAGCATCAAACCCGCCTGGTTCAGGAGGGCTCAGTGACCCTGTCATGTTCCATCCCTGGAATCCCTTCCCTAAAACCCAGAGCAGCAAACCAATCTGGTTCAGGAGGGCTCAGTGACCCTGTACAAACCCACAAAGTATTTCACTGCCAGTCCCACCATTCCCTTTACACGTTCCCATCCCTGGAATCGTTTCCCTAAAACCAGGGGCAGCAAACCGGAGGGCTCAGTGAGCCTGTTACAAACCCATGGAGTATTTCAGTGCCAGTCCCACCATTCCCTTTACACATCCTATCCTTGTAATCCTTTCCCTAAAACCCAGAGCATCAAACCTGTCTGGTTCTGAAGGGCTCAGAGAGCCTGTACAAACCCCATGGAGTACTTCACTGCCTATCCCACCGTTCTCTTTACATATTCCATCCCTGGAATCCTTTCCCTAAAAGCCAGAGCATCAAACCCGCCTGGTTCAGGAGGGCTCAGGGAGCCTGTACAAATCCCACAGAGTATCTCAGTGCCAGTCCCACCGTTCCCTTTACACATCCCATCCCTGGAATTATTTCCCTAAAAGCCAGAGCATCAAACCCGCCTGGTTCAGGAGGGCTCAGTGACCCTGTACAAACCCCACAGACTATTCCAGTGCCAGTCCCACGGTTCCCTTACACACCCCATCCCGGGAATCCCGTCCCACAGCCACTCTCCTGCTCCTGCAGCAGACACCAAGCCCTCCTCACTCTGGGCCTCTGCCGCCCCCGAAGTTCCTGCCTCTCTGCGGTCCCCGAACACCGCCCAGCTCCGGGGCAGGTGGCGGTGCCGAGCCCCGGCAGCACCGAGCCCACCCCGAGAGGCAGGGCACGGAACGCTCGCGGCACGGGCAGGCCGGGAGCGGGGCACGCCGCGCTCCCCTCACGCAGTCCCCAGGGTTAGCTGAGGGGAGCGGGGCCGGTCCCCTCACGCACTCCCCAGGGTCAGCTGAGGGGAGCGGGGCCGGTCCCCTCACGCAGTCCCCACGGTTAGCTGAGGGGAGCGGGGCCGGTCCCCTCACGCACTCCCCAGGGTCAGCTGAGGGGAGCGGGGCCGGTCCCCTCACGCACTCCCCAGGGTCAGCTGAGGGGAGCGGGGCCGGTCCCCTCACGCACTCCCCACGGTTAGCTGAGGGGAGCGGGGCCGGTCCCCTCACGCACTCCCCAGGGTTCCCCCAGCTGAGGGGAGCGGGCCCGGCGGGGCAGGCCGGGAGCGGGCCCGGCCCCGCGGGGGACACTGAGGCTCGGCAGGTGCTGAGGGCTCGTTCCCGGGGCCGATCGCCACCCCGCCCGGCCCGCTCCCGTCTCACCTCCCCGGGAAGCGGCTCCTTCCTCACCTCCGCCCTTTGACCTCCCAGCAGCCGCGGCTCGCGTGCGTCGCGCTCGGGGGCCTTTCTCGGCCTTTCCTTTTTTCTGCTGCGGGGTCTCCGGGCTCCGGACCCGCGTTAATCCCGAGCTCTTCCGCCCGTTCCCGGCCCGTTCCCGGCCCGTTCCCGGCCCGCTCTCTCCCGCCCCCTCCCGCCCTCCCCCCGCTGCCGCCGCCGGGCCCCGACCGCGCGCGCGCAGCGCCGCACGCCGGCCACGCCCCCCGCCGTCAGCGTGGCCACGCCCACGCCGTTCCGACCACGCCCCCACGAGAGCGGTTAGCTCCCAATATAGGCTTTATTTGCATGGTCACGCCCACACGCTGCGATACACACCTCTATTTGCATAACCACGCCCTGTCTCTCCGGCCACGCCCCCGGAAGCGGCGCGGCGGCGGCGGGAGCACGTGGAGCGGGACCGGGCACCGGCCGCGCTGGGGTTCGGGCAGAGCGGAGCCGGCCCCGGCACCCGGGCACGGCGGGAATGGGCGGGTCAGCCCCCGGCAGGCCCGAGAACCCCGGAGGGACAGGAGGAGTTGATGGCGGGGATTGGGCAGCTGAGGGGAGCGGGGCCGGCGGGGCAGGCCGGGAGCGGGCCCGGCCCCGCGGGGGACACTGAGGCTCGGCAGGTGCTGAGGGCTCGTTCCCGGGGCCGATCGCCACCCCGCCCGGCCCGCTCCCGTCTCACCTCCCCGGGAAGCGGCTCCTTCCTCACCTCCGCCCTTTGACCTCCCAGCAGCCGCGGCTCGCGTGCGTCGCGCTCGGGGGCCTTTCCCGGCCTTTCCTTTTTTCTGCTGCGGGGTCTCCGGGCTCCGGACCCGCGTTAATCCCGAGCTCTTCCGCCCGTTCCCGGCCCGTTCCCGGCCCGTTCCCGGCCCGCTCTCTCCCGCCCCCTCCCGCCCTCCCCCCGCTGCCGCCGCCGGGCCCCGACCGCGCGCGCGCAGCGCCGCACGCCGGCCACGCCCCCCGCCGTCAGCGTGGCCACGCCCACGCCGTTCCGACCACGCCCCCACGAGAGCGGTTAGCTCCCAATATAGGCTTTATTTGCATGGTCACGCCCACACGCTGCGATACACACCTCTATTTGCATAACCACGCCCTGTCTCTCCGGCCACGCCCCCGGAAGCGGCGCGGCGGCGGCGGGAGCACGTGGAGCGGGACCGGGCACCGGCCGCGCTGGGGTTCGGGCAGAGCGGAGCCGGCCCCGGCACCCGGGCACGGCGGGAATGGGCGGGTCAGCCCCCGGCAGGCCCGAGAACCCCGGAGGGACAGGAGGAGTTGATGGCGGGGATTGGGTGTGAGGAGCCCTGCAGCATCCCCGGGCACAGCGCATCGGGAGGGAGGGCTGGCACCGGGAGCCCTGGCTCGTGCCGGGGACAGAGGTGACTGATTCCCACTGGGAGCGCTGGGCACACGGCACGGGAAGGGGCAAGCAGTGCCCACAGGCCAAGGGATGTTCAAGGCCAAGGGATGGTCCCTGCTCTCGGCCGGCACGCTGCAGAACACACTGCCTGCTCCTCCATCTGCGGGGGCTGAGAGCCTTTCCGGGGCCCCTCCTGCAGCTGCCAGGCTGACACCCGCAGTCCCTGCTGCCTGCACTTTCCCAGTGGAACACATCCCCCTCTCCCGGGGACCCGCAGCCCTGTCCCACAGCCCCAGCCTCGGGGGGACGCCCTGCTGCAGCTCCCTGCGAGCCCAGGGAGCAGAGCGGAGCCCTCAGGCCAGGCTCTCGGCGTTGCCCACGCTCCGGCTGGCACACAGACACCGCGTGCCAGCGGCCCTGAGCACGCAGCTGGTGGCTGACCCGGGCAAGGCCGTCCTGTCCTGCCACCCATGGCACCATTCCTGACATCCAGTCCCGGGCTGCCCTCCCGCAGCGTCAGCTCCAGGCTGCAGCGTGGCCGTGCCATGGCCTTGGCCCCGCACGGCTGCCCCGTCGTGTCCTGGCGGCCAAGGCCACTGCTGGGCACCGGGCTGGGCTGTGCCTCAGCAGCCCCACGGGGCTCACAGCCCTGGCCAAGCAGCACTGCCAAGCAGGCAGAGCTCATCCCAAAGGGCTGGGATCCCAAAGGGCAGCTCATCCCAAAGGGCTGGGATCCCAAAGGGCAGCTCATCCCAAAGGGCTGGGAGCCCAAAGAGAGGCTCATCCCAAAGGGCTGGGAGCCCAAAGGGCAGCTCATCCCAAAGGGCTGGGATCCCAAAGAGAGGCTCGTCCCAAAGGGCTGGGATCCCAAAGAGTGGCTCATCCCAAAGGGCTGGGATCCCAAAGAGAGGCTCATCCCAAAGGGCTGGGAGCCCAAAGAGAGGCTCGTCCCAAAGGGCAGCTCATCCCAAAGGGCTGGGATCCCAAAGGGCTGGGATCCCAAAGGGCTGGGATCCCAAAGAGAGGCTCATCCCAAAGGGCTGGGAGCCCAAAGGGCAGCTCATCCCAAAGGGCTGGGATCCCAAAGAGCAGCTCATCCCAAAGAGCGGCTCGTCCCAAAGGGCTGGGATCCCGGGAACACCCCCTGCACGGGGACATGGGGACAGGCCGAGGCTCCTCAGCCCATTTCTGGGATACAGGCACTGCTTCAGGGCAGGAAGAAGCAGGCAGCAGGCAGCAGTGATGTCACACAGCAGTGATGTCACAACCTTGGGGCCCAACACAATGACCCTGCCGGTTTCAGGAGGGAGCCAGGCTTTGGGATCTCTCCAAGGATAATCACACAGACATTACTCCAGTTATTCACCATCCTGTGCCCGTCACAGACGCAGCAGTGCCAGCACAGCTACTGGGCCTCTCCTCCTCCCTCTGCAGACAGTGACAGTGCACTGACCCCGGGCACTGCCAGCACCCTGGGACAGCAGCAGTGGCACTGGGCACTGCCACTCCCACAGCAGAGCATGGAGGGACATGGGGACACCCAGGACCAGCGATCCTGTAGCACACATGGCCTGACTCCCCTCCCTCCTCGTGGCTTTGCTGCAATCCCTGGAGCCTGCCTGGCTTCCCTGGGCTGCCACTGATCAGCAGGCACAGCCCTGAGCTGCCAGGCCTCCCAAAACTCCAAGGCAAAGGCACCTTCCCAAACCAGCATGGGATGGGGCACTGAGTCTACGTGGAAAATCAGGAATGTGTCCCACTGCCAGAGCTGCTACCCCAGCTCTGGAGCTGCAAGGACCTGGCAGATTGCTCTGGACTCTCACAAGTGCGTGGGACGTTTTTATCTCCCAGGATAAATGGGATATCCAGCAGGACCAGCTACCAGGAGACCTCCAGGCCTGAGCTCTGCTCCCAGGATTGCCCCTGTGCCCATGGGAAAGGCCCTGTCCTCACCCAGGCTTGGGAGATGCCCATTGCTGCTCCCTGCCAAGGAGCAGGTGGGGAGCAGTTCCCACCCAGAGATCTGGGGTTACTTAATCACCGTACCCTTATCTCACTGGAATGATGGATTATTAATAATCCAGCTTCACACAGGCAGGTCGTGTAACTGCTAGTCAGGGTTTGGGCTGAGGAAGCAGTGGCTGAGACAGGCTGCAGAGGGGTTTGTCCAACCACAAAGCTTGGGAAGCTGCAGGTGACAAAGCGTGGCAGTGCCCAGGTGTCAGCACAGCCAGGGGAGGGCTGTACACAGAGCTGTGCATTTACCAGCTCCATGGAAGGTGGAGTTGGGCAAATCCCTGCCAGCCAGAGCTGGGAGCAAGGAGGGGATTGCGCCAGGCTCCCTGCTCCACCCGCCGTGTGTCATCTCCTCCTGTGCCAGGGGGAGGGAGGGGTGCTCCCTCCATGCCGTGCCTGGCACTGCCACGCTGTGCCCAGCACCGGAAGAGGTGAGGCAGGGCACACCCAGCCCGCAGGGCACCCCCTGCCTGTATTTACATGCTCCAAGGGCCATTCTTGCAAGTTCTTGCTCCCATTCTTGGCCTGAGTGTGTTGGGAACGGGGTGGGAGGACAGAGGGATGCAGCAGGCCCCAGGCAGGCTGATCCCACGTTGGCACCACTTCAGGTGTGTCTGAGCTTCCCTCCTGGGTCAGTCTGCTGCTCCTGAGAGGTGCTGGTGGTGCTTTTGCAGAGGAGGCACTGACACTCCCAGGCTCTGCACTGTCACAGTGTCACAGGACTGCAGCCGACAGCCCCCGTGCGAAAAAGGTGACGTTCCTGTCCTGGATCTTGTACTGGTAGACCTGGACCAGATCCTGCTCCGCCGCCTGCCGCAAGGACAATCTCTTGATTATCTTAATCTGCAAAGGAAAGGAACAGCAACATTGTCCCTCTGGCTGCCCAGAGCAGCCCTGGCCCCAGTGCCTCTGGCTGGCCTGCAGGGAAGGGGTGGCACTGATAAATAACCCATCAGCAGCTGCCTGTCCCTGTGCCTTTGGTGGCAGCCCCTGAGGAGGGATCACACAAGTGTCAGCACCCTCCCAGCCCTGCAGAGATCACCACAGGCCAGGCTCACATGCACCATTTGGGGAAACTTCCCAGCAAAGTTTCCCCTCACCCCGGGGTGGGAGAAGCCTGCACTGCAGCTGCTGTACAAACCCTGGAGAGCTTGCAGAGGTGGGGAGTCCCAGATGGAGGATGTCCCTGAACATCCCCGCAGCAGCAGTGACAGCTGGGTGCTCCAGGGGATTACTCCTTAACCACACTGCAGCCTGGGCTGTCTCCCACAGCCCCTGCAGTGCTGGAGGTGGGAGGGACACGTGCCACCCGTCCATGCTGTGCTGTGCCTCACCTGCCCGTGCACATCCTTGCAGAAGCCGGTGGCCAGCCCCTCTGCCCACAGGATGAGGTCGCTGTGATGGCACAGGGAGTTCACAACCAGCTCGTTCTCCTCATCCTCCGAATCCTCGTTGCTGTGAACCAGCACCACGATGTTCCCCTGCAACGGGAGCAGCAGGCAGGGATGAGCCTCCGGCTGGGAAGAATCCTTTAGGGGAAGGATGGGAGGGTGCCAACAGGAGTTTTCAGCAACACCCCATCTGAGCTCCAGCTTGGTCTGAATTGCACTGGGAAAATAACCAGCAGCTGCTGATGGAGAGACTGGACACGGCCCAGCCAGAATCCCCCAAACCCTGGCTGATCCCCAGGGTGGGCAGCAGAGCAGGGGTGAGACCCCCCTGCAGAGCTGCCTCCAGTCTGGGCACAAACCAGAGGCGTCCCTGCCCACAGCACACGTGATCTTTACGGTGCCTTCCAACACAGGCCATTCTGTGACATGCAAATACTGAGGAGCTCACTGTACATTGTGTACACACACATATATGTAAGGTGCAATCTAAAAATACCTCCAGCCTCTGTGAGGAGACAGTGGCTCAACCAGTCTGTCAGGCTGGGCAGATGGCACTGACTGAATTCAGAGCAGGTAAATAAAGAGGTGGCCAAAGGGCTGCAGCAATGCTCACACCCTCACAGCTCTGACAGGGAGCAAACACCTCCCCAACACAGCGACTCTATTAACATCCATCTCAAGAGACTCTGCCTCAGCTCATGCAAGTCACCAGTGACTGAAAATAACACGAATTCTCAATCAATTAAAATGTACTTTAAGGCTTCAGAACACCTCAGACAGAAATAGCAAAGTGTTAGCGTGGTTTATCTTCTTTTTTAGCTCTCTGGAGGTAAATACTCTCTGCAAGCAGATCATCCCCTGTCAGCACATAGAACCCAACAGCCTGTGCTGTGTGAAGCGCAGGGTGACAGCACCCAACACCACTGGCTCACTCCTCACTCCGGCAGGGAAGTGCCCAGGGAGGGGACGCTGCCTGTCATGGCAGAGCCTGGATGTGAGTGTGAGCACTTCTGGCTGTGGCTCTCTCAGGAGTCCCCCACATCGCTGGGAGATCTCTGGAGATCATCACCCCACCTTGGGGCCCAGCCACACTGGAGGGTAGTGGGAGCAGGGGGCTCCCAGAGGGGCCCTTCATTTCTGCCCCCTGTGAGACCCGTTTCCACCCCTGCCCTCCCACACAGGGGTGTGAGTCAGGATCTCTGGAGAGCCAGGAGCTCCAAAAACCACCATTTTACACCTCAAATCCCTGTTCATACATCAGAGACACACAGAACCCTTCTCTGGGCAGCATCTCCCAGGAGTCCAGCTGAGCAGGAGCCTGCACAGGTACTCAGGGACCCACACAACTCCCAGGAGTGGCCCCAGAGCAATGATCTGAACTCCCTGGACAGCCAGAGCCTTTCAAAAACCTCAGCATGGTGAGATGGAAAGAGCAAACGAAGGCAGGCTTTGCTCTGGAGGCTCTGTGTACAGGCAGGGCCCAGGGGGAGCAGTACCTTCAGCTGGCAGCACACCCACACACGGCAGTAGTGGATGAAGTCCAGCACGGCCACCGGGGTGGCCCCCAGGCTCAGCAGGACACTGAGGTCATCCACCAACAGCACGGGGCCTTTCCAGGAATCGCCACCAGCGGCGCTCAGGGACGCCCGGACAAAGTCAAACAGGGCCCGCAGCTCACAGGAGCTCCCCCTGGAAGAGAGGACAAAGTCAAACAGGGCTCACAGGAGCTCCCCCTGGAAGAGAGGACAAAGTCAAACAGGGCTCACAGGAGCTCCCCCTGGAAGACAGGACAAAGTCAAACAGGGCTCACAGGAGCTCCCCCTGGAAGACAGGACAAAGTCAAACAGGGCCCGCGGCTCACAGGAGCTCCCCCTGGAAGAGAGGACAAAGTCAAACAGGGCTCACAGGAGCTCCCCCTGGAAGACAGGACAAAGTCAAACAGGGCCCGCAGCTCACAGGAGCTCCCGCTGGAAGAGAGGACAAAGTCAAACAGGGCTCACAGGAGCTCGCCCTGGAAGACAGGACAAAGTCAAACAGGGCTCACAGGAGCTCCCGCTGGAAGACAGGACAAAGTCAAACAGGGCTCACAGGAGCTCCCCCTGGAAGACAGGACAAAGTCAAACAGGGCTCACAGGAGCTCCCCCTGGAAGACAGGACAAAGTCAAACAGGGCTCAAAGGAGCTCCCCCTGGAAGGCAGGAACCAGTGTCAGGGGCTTGGCACTGCGTGTCCCCTCCTCACCCACTGACCCAGAGCTGGCATCGCCAGCCTGTCCCCCCTGCTGTGACACCTCCTCACTGCCCTTCAGCCCCTGCTCCTTTACACCTGCGTGTGGTGAAACCCCCCTGCCCTGCTCCAGGGATTGTGGAATGGTTTGGGTGGGAGGGAAACTCAAAGGCCATCCCGTGCCACCTCTCTGCCATGGCATGGACACCTTCCACTATGCCACTATGCCAGGTTGCTCCAAGCCCAGTCCAACACGGCCTTGGACACTGCTGGGGAAGTGTTTGGCCTCTGCTGAGCTTCCCAGGGAACATGGAGAAAGTGATATGAGAATAAACCCAAAAGCCAGCGTGGATAAACCAGCACTGCTCTCTGGGATAAGAATAAAACTCAAATTAATGAAAGAAGGGAATAAAACCACTTGGCTGGGGTTTCATTTGACACAAACCTGTGGAACGCTGAAATAAATGTTGTTCTAGACCTGTGACATGCTTAGCAATGAAGATGGGGGTGGAAGTTCCCCTAAAATTCTGGGAAGAGGGACAGGATGCCCCCCTGAGCAGCAGTGAGGGACAGACCAGGACACTTAGGGGGATGTGCACAATGCTGGTGTTTCCCTTCACTTGGTGTCCAGCTGAGTCCTGTGGCCCTGGAGGGGAGTGCAAAGGGCAGCAGGAGCCAGTCCTGGACCTTGGGTGGCAGCAGATGTGAGGGGGAACACTCCATGCTAGGCTCACCTCAGAAACTGCAGAGGACTGGGCTGTCCTGGCTGCTCCTTCTCCCCAAACAGGAGGTCAAGGCAGGACTGGAGGCCCTCCAGGAAGACAAGCTGTCCCCGCTCCTTGGCAGCTGCCAGACTGACTCCCTTGAGAGAGGAAAACATTAGGGTTAGAGTGAACCCTTATGGAAAATGGTGCACACAGAGCCACGTGGGTCAACTGCCAAATTTTCATTCTTATTTGAATCGAATCTTATCTAAATGTGCTGATACAGTGCTTCAGGGATAAAATGAGCACTTCTGTTACATCACTGGTGGCATATTCACTCTTCTGTACTTTGCCAGGAGATAACAAAAACACACTGTGATTTGGGGGCCCAAACCTCCTGGAATTCCTTCTGGGAAGCCAGCTTGGTGTGCAGAGGCAGGGAGAGAATGACCCAGGCTTCTCCAAGAGGCTGCTTTGAGCAATTCCTTCACCTCCCTCCCTGGGAGGTGAAAGCTTTTGTGTTCCACTATCTCCAGATCTCGGCTGTGGCAATGAGGGCTCCTGGCACAGCCCACGCAGCCGAGCCTGGCACGGCCTGGATGCGGAGAGCGCCGTGGGCTTGGCATCCCCACTTGCACAACACCTGCAGAGAGCAGCCAGGGCTCCCACGGGAAGCAGCCCTGACTCCTCTTGGAGGAGGAGGAGCACAACAAAGCCTGGGGCTGAACTCAGACTCAGACTCAGCTGGCTCACAGCCCTGCCTGGTGGGGAGGCCAATCCAGAGCTGGGAACGTCCAGCTCCAAGGGAGACCTCCCACAGCTGCAGCAGACATGGAGAAGACTCCAGCTGGAGCTCACAGAACTCTAGAAAGGTTTGGGTTGGAGGGATGTTTGAAGGTCATCCAGTTCCACCCCTCTGCAGGGACACCTCCCACTGGACTAGGTTGCTCCAAGGGCTGTCAGGGGCAGAAGGAGCTGGGAAAGGGGCTCAGCCTGGACAAGAGGAGGCTCTTCTTGCTCTCCACAGTTTATTCTCAAAAAGGGTGGTCAGGCATTGGAAGGGGCTGCCCAGGGCAGTGGAGCAGTCACCATCCCTGGGGGAATTGGGTTACTGTTGGGGGTGCTGGGGGACAGGGGGATGCAATGATCCTTGAGGGCTTTCCAGCCTCAGTGATTCCATGATCATGTGCAGTACAATTATTTCCTGGAGGATTGGACTAGGTGACCTTTTCAGGTATCTTCCAACCCAAACTACTGCATAATTATCTTCCCAGGCTCAATTTTGCAACACTATCACTGTGTAACATGGATATTAAGAATAATCTGAGGCCTGACTGAACTCCCATCTGCTGGCATCTGCTCCCTGCTTTAACTGGAAGGTGCCTGGACTCCCAGCCCTGGGAATCCTGCTGCCTGAGGAGAATGCTTCCTCTGTTTTCCTTCTACTCAGCTGGGAAGGAACGTATGCCTGAATGCTCACCCCTCTTCAGACTCCCCCTCCAAGGCAATAGATCTTTTTGGGCACTACCCCTCAGTAACAGCTTCAGAAATAGCAGCATTATTGTGCAATTCTGAGCACACACGATGGAAAACTTCCTAGCCAAGGACAGAACCACCTCTATGTGGCAGGTGAGGAGCAGGGAACAGCCAGCAAATAAATACCTGCCATGCCACAAAGAAGGGCTGGGCTGCACAGCAGCCTCACAAGCCTCGATCCCTCAGGGATTTCTGCAGCCCATAGGACTGGGAACTTGCTGAGATGCTGTGCCTAAATTCACTATTAATATCAATAATTCAGCAACTGATTCTACCTTTGCTTCAGCCATTTCTTCCTGCACACACAAACTCTCTGTACCTCAGATCTGCTAGGAAAGTGTCCCCCCTTCAGAAGGAAACTCAGTGCTGTGACACTGCCTGGGTGACAGAGAAGGGCCACAGCAGCCAGGGACAGGGTGACTGTGTGTCACACCAAGAATTCAGCCCCCTCAGTGCCATGCCAGGGACCCAGCAAGTCCAGCTTCGTTTTCCAACAGGGGAACAGGTCCCAGAGAGACCCGAATCCCCCAGGGCAGTCACCTGCCACAGCAAACCTCTGCTGTCTCCTGCTGGCAGCCCAGTGTGACCTCTGGAAGCAGCACAGGACACATCAGACAGCTTGGAAAAGTGGGATAAGTGCTCAAAACGGCCAGTGGCACCATCCTGAGTGCACAGACAGGACTGATATCCCCAGAGCAGAGCCACGGAGTGCCCAGCACCCAAACAGCCTGAAAGCTTTCACTGCGAGCCAGCATCCCGCTCCATTACCCTGGAGCACATTATCTCTGGCACATTATCTCTGGCACTGTCAGCCATCGACCCAGCCCAGGAATGCTCCTGCAGCAGCAGCTCAGCTGCTCCTGTCCCTCGGGGGAGTGGTGCCCCCCGGGCTGCCAGCAGTGGCAGCCCCTCAAAGCAGAGCTGCTGCTCACTGCTGGCCATTCCATACAGAAAAGCAAAAGATGGGAGGGACAGAAGGAATGGGGAGTGCAAAGCAGGGGGGTGAGCTCATCAGCAAACACAGCTGTGGGACAAAGTGTGGCCATCAGCGATCAGGCCACACCACGTCCTCCAAGCTGTGAGCTCAGAGATGGGCATCAAATGGGGACAAATCTGGTTTTCCTGTAAAACAAAACAAACTTTGTACAAGTGAGGGTGGGAACACCAAGCTGGCAGGGTGCCCTGCTGCTGCTTGTCCTATACAGCCCTGCATGTTCTCTGCAAGGTCAGGGCCAATAACACTGACACTGCCTTAAAACCAAGTGTGGGTCCTTGGGGAAAGAGGACACAGGCACAAAAAAAGCCAGGGAAGGTTTCTCCTGTGAGTAAAGATACATCCCTGTGTTTAGCTAACACCACGTAAGGAAGTGGTTTGGGACTTGTAACACCTGGCACACTGGGAAAGCAGCAAGTCCCTGGAAGCATCACTGCAGCTGTGTATAAATACTCACTTTATCACCACACACCAGTGCTACAAGTGTCACTGTACAATCCACCCTGACTCCAGGAGCCTCCTCCTGGGGCTGGGACCACCCTGCTCCCAACAGAAACTGGGGCACGGCTCAGTTCTGAAGCTCTTCCAAGGGCAGGCTTTCCTAAGAGCATAATCACAGCTGCAGAATCACTGAGGCTGGGAAAGTCCCCTGAGCCCACCCAGCCCAGCCATGCCCCCAGCACTGCCAGGGCCACCACCACCACCCATGTCCCCAGGTGCCACATCCACAGGGCTTTTAAATCTCTTCACCAGTGGGGACTCCAGCACTGCCCTGGGGGGCTATGCCAGGGCTGGATAGCCTTTTTGGGGAAGGAATTTTCCCAATATCCAACCTAAACCTTCCCTGGCAACCCCTGAGGTCCCTGTTCCCTGGGAGCAGACCCTGAGCCCGCCTGGCTGTCCCCTCCTGGCAGGAGCTGTACAGAGCCACAAGGTCCCCCCTGATCCCCCTTTTCTCCAGGCTGAGCCCCTTCCCAGCTCCCTGAGCCCCTCCTGGGGCTCCAGACCCTTCCCCATCTCCATTCCCTGGACACACTCTGTCCTGTACCTGGGGACTGCAAAACTGCCCCCAGGACTGGAGTTTTCCCTCAGCAGTGCCAGCACAGGGGATGGGCACTGCCCTGGGCCTGTGGCACACCATTTCTGCTCTCCAGTAAAGATCTACAGCAGTGAGTTCTTAACCAAATTTGAGTGAATTTGAGTGAAACTACCCAGCCAAGAACCACCTTTCCTGAGCTTGACGTGTTCATCTCTGCAAAGAAGGATTAAAGCAAGGAGAAGATGTGATGGAAACTTGGATATAAATAACTGACGTTGCGACCTCCAGCTCCTCAGAGCTCGCGAGGAATTCACAGCAAGGACCACAGGGGCACCTATGAAGCTGCAAGGCAAGAGTGACTCAGAGCTGAAAGCAGCTCAGCGCTTCTCTGAGCTGTGCTTATCACCTCCTTTGTGGCAGCCACCTTTTGTTCGTGTATCAGACAGCAAATCGCCCCCATTTGCATCGCACGTGTGCTCCAGCTAATCCTCCTGTTCTCTCCCTCCCCAGCTCCCAGCCAGGGAGATGTCAGCAGCTCCCACTAAGTGCACATCGGGAAATCTCGGCATTGGGAAACACCCTGACTTGAGGAACAGGCAAGGATCCCGTATTTAACAGCTGGATTTCCTCCCCACAGCGGCTGCTGTGCCCCATTTCCTGCCCCACTCTGCAAGCTCCCTGCACGGTTTCCTCCCCTCTGCACCACAAAGGCCAGGACAGCTCTGTGCTCGCGCTTTGCTCAGCCAGGAGGATGGCTCTGCAGGGGAATCACTCCTTGAGTTACAGCCCCGTGGGGGAACGCCGTGTTTGCTGTGCACCCCGGGCCGCTGATCTCCTTCAAAGGTAAAACCGAGCAGTAAATAAAATACAGTGGTTTAGCAGGACGATGTTTACAGTGGGGAATACAATACCCAGTTCCTCAGCACCTGGGACTCCTTATCAGCAGCAGGGCTGCTGGGATTCACAGCAGAACCAGCGGGAGGAGCAGGGCAAGCCTCATCCCTTCAGCCCTGGAAGGTCACCTGCACTTCCCACCTGCAGCATTTCACCTTGGAGTGCTGTACAAAGAGCTGAGTGAAGCACTTTGGAGCTCAGACAATGTGCTGACATGCAGAATTACCCTGCCTGCTTTGCCTCTGTTTCCTCATTTCAGAGTACACATAATCCCTGTCCAACTCAGCATGGGAAGCAAATCCCTAGGAATTTACCTGTGGCTCCTGACGGAGCTCGAAGGGATGGCTCAGCCCAGAGGCCAAGTGAGGCACACAGGTGTCCTTGTGCCACAGCCCTCCATCCCAACAGGAACCAGAGGACAGGGACAAAGTCACCTCAGGAGCTCCTGCAGGGGTGCAGGGCTCCTGGCACCACTGACACCACAGCATTTTCCTCTCCAGGGGATTAAGGAACCTCCATCTACCAGTCTGTGCCTGTCTGGGGAACGCTGATCCCAGCTAACACTTCTAAGCACAAAGCAAGCAGCTGTTCAGCTCTGGCAGGGCAGAGCCCATGGGACACCTTGCAGCCAGGTTTCTGCCCAAAAGTGCTCTTTATCCCCATCACAGAGCACCAGTCCTGACTGCCCCCATCAGACCTGAAACATTTGCTCACACACAGTTCCTATTCCCCCTTCCCATCCCTTCCCACCCAGAAACTACCTGGATCCATACCAATGAGCCTATGCCAAGAGACTCACCAGTTTCTGTGCCACGATGCTGTAGTGGCTGAAGGACTGCAGCAGGGCCACAAAGCAAACCTTGCAGCCAGCTGGGGAGGGACAAAAGCACACATTAGCAGTTCCACTTTGCAGCTGACATTACCAAAGCTCATAAATCACAGCGGCCAGGCCACAGATCTGTCTGGAAGGACCTTGAAGTGATGCAGGTCTAGACAAACCCTCCTTTGCTTTCATTTTTCACCCTTCCAGAGGATACCCGCATTAGTGAATATGTTAGTTTAAAAAGAGAGGGAAAGGAAAAAGATGACTTTAAAAAGTGTAAGGCCACTTTTCTGCCTCATGCCAGGCCAGCCTGGGACCTCCTGACCCTGTTTGCTGGTGTGACAGTGAGGAGGCCAAGGGCCAGCTGTGACACTGAACTACTGAGACCACACATGCCAAAAATTCCCATTTTGGCTCTCACAGGGCAAGTGACCTTGACTGGAAAAACACAGAACAGAGAATTGTGTCAGACACCTAAATAAAAAGTGATTTTGGAACACAGTTTGGGTATGAACATAATCAGTGTTTGTTGGACATGGATTTCAGTAGAACAAGTCAATGGCCCCAGATGAACCTTCAGATCTCCCAAAGGTTTTGGGCATCAAGTGGACAACAAGGGGGTGCTGCAAGCAGGGAATAACTGCACCTAGGTCCCGGGCTGGAGAGGGGCAGGGGACAGCCAGCTCACCTGTCCTGAGACACAGTAACAACCCACAGGGCTGCCCACCCACCAGGGATGGAAGGCTTTTCCCAGGCACACAGGCAGCTCTGGACAGCGACTCCCAGGGCACTGCTGCCCTGCAGCACCAATCCCCAGGGCACTACCAATCCCCAGGGCACTGCTGTCCAATCCCCAGGGTACTGCTGCTGTGGGGCAGGACATCAGCAGAGCCCGAGGCAGTGTCTGGCAGCTCTCTTTGAACCATTCCCACTGTCACCAACCCACTTTCCATGGGATTTCCTTCAGTTTCCCTCTGTTCCACTAAGTACAAAACATTTCAAAGCAGGGTGAAGCCCCAGTGGAGGCAGTGGCGGCTCTGGGGGCACAGTGTCCTCGTGCCATGCCCTGCCCAGCCCCCTGAGCTTCCTTTCAGGTGTGACAGTACCAGAGCTGCTGGGCTGGTGGCTGTGCCAGCAGAAAGCTGGAGGAGTCCCCGAGTCCAGTGCCTGCTCTGCAGGGGCCAGGAGGTTACTCACAGGAGAAACTGCTCCCAGAAAAGTAATTAGAGGTCTTGCCAGGCTCTGTTTGTTTCTTGACTCACTCTGAGCTTATCTGTTGTTAATTGGTCCTGATATGTGTAATTACATCATAAAAATGGAAGCGGTGAGAGAATTGCAGTGAACACCTCCCTGTCAGAGCCTGTGTGATTTACAACCATTGCCACAATCCATGATGAAACAAAGTGCAGAATTATGGGATGTACCCAAGGATACAGAGGAGTCCCAAGAACAAGTCAGGACTAGGAGCCATAAATGCTACCCCCAAAGCTTTGTGTTCATGTGAGGATAACTCAGACTCTGCAGAACTGCCCTCTGCTCATGGAGCAGCCCTGAGGGAACCTCAGGGAGGGCTGCTGCTGACCCACCTCTGAGGTAGAAGGAGAGGAAGTGGTGCACCAGGAAGCTGCCATCTGTCCGGCTGTCTCGCAGCAGGGTGAATTTACCCTGGCAAAGAAGAAGCACAATAACAGAGTAAGGTGAGGGCACAAACTGCTCTTGGTAGACAAGATGTTGGCTCAAGCTGCAGGAATTCTGCAGGTGCTACTCAGAGGAAGTGGACAAGCAGAGCTGCAGCTGCCTGTCTACAAAGGGAAGCCAACATTTCCTCTGGACAGAGCCCACGGGGAGGCATCTGAACCACAGCATTGCTGAGGCTGGAAAAGCCCCGTGAGCCCATCATGTCCAACCCTTAGCCCAGCACTGCCACGCTCACCACTGAACCATGTCCCACATGCCCGGCATCACCACCAGCTAAAAACCCTCGTGCTCAGCTGAGAGCCCAGCTGGACCCCCACGTCTGTGCCCAGCAGGTGCCACCCCCTCCCCTGGCAACCACAGATGTGCAGCACGGTGCTCCCAGTGCCACCACAGCCAGAGCCTCTGGTGCTGGACACCATCACAGGGGTTCTGGGCATTTTCCAGCTCCCAGCTTTGGCCCCTCTCCTCTAATTCACTGGCATCTTTCTTCTCCACCTGGCAGGGGAACAACAGCCACTCACTCACTCCATTGCCAGCCCATTCCCCCCTGCCACAGCCAGCACTGCCAGTGTGTTCCAAATGTCAGTACCCTGGAGCTGCTGTTGCTCCTGTGCCCAAACAGCCCTCCCTGTCCAGGTTTATTCCCAGTGTGCCACCTTTGGGGTAGAAAACCTTATCACCAAAATTCTGCAGTGCACAAAGCTCTCAGCACAAGGTATAAACCTTGTTTTGATCAGGCAGGAAATTAATTCTGTTCATTAGTGCACACTCATTATCAGCCGCAGCCTCATCAAGGTGTTTGTTGCCATTAAAATCTTAGTCAGGATGTTTCTTTAATCAATACAAATCATAGATGAGCTGCTTGGAAACACAAAGAACTTATCAAAGTGGGAGGTTTTTCTGCTCCCAGGAACAGAAGAAGCCTTTCACAGCAACAAGCCATCTCCACAGAGGCAATTCCCAAGCCATCCATCAGAACAAACTCCCTGGTGCCGAGAGCCCAAAGCGGAGCGAATGGAACAGCAAATATTGAACATGACTGCAGGGAATGCAGAGCAGAGCCCAGGGCAGGGAAGCTGCCCTCCCTCAGCTGCAGTGAAGAGCTCTTCCCCCAAAAAGGGTTATGCCTCAAAGGCCACCGCAGTGACAGGGACACCGCCCTCCGTGGATGAGCCTGGAGGAGATCTGTGCTCAAACAGCACAAACCAGACATTCAGGGGTTTGTCTTTGCAACTCCACCCCTGCAGCTCCCCTCTTCCCCACCAGAGCCGCGGGCAGAGCAGGCCGAGTGCTCCCTGTGCCCTCCCTGCCAGGCTGTGCTGCACACAGCATCATTCCAAAGGCAAAGCCTTCCTGCAGCACCCTCTCCATGAACCCCAGCCCGCTCTGTCCACGCTCTGCCCTCACACAACACCTGCGGGCTGAGGCAGAAGCTGCAGCTACTTGTCAGGAACTGCCAGGATCGCTCGGCGGGCAGCAGTGGGTGTCACAAGCCCACGGTGCCACAGCAGGCACACCCACAGCCACAGCCACAGCGGCAGCAGCTCCGTACACGATGCCCTGCGGGCACGGCTCCTGTCAGCTCGGAGCTGTGGAAATCAGCAGCGGGAAGGTGGGGCCCGCAGAGGGCTGACACTGTCACACGGCAGGACCCAGCACACGGCAGGGACTGGCTGTGCAGGGATCGCTGACACTGAGGGGACCTGCACACACACACACTCATCACCTCCCAGCAGAGAAAAGCAGATGTAATACCCTGAGTGCTGCAGGAAGCCATTCCCCACTGCAGCACTGGGAAGGCCACCCTGCTGTGAGAGCCGGACAGAGCGGAACCCGCAGCGTGTGGTGGGATGGGATGGGATGGGAAACTCAACCCAAGGGAATTCCTCACACAGACCCAGCTCCTGCCCTGGCTGCCAAGTCCCAACCCAGAGGCCAAATCTTGTGGTTTTGCTCTGTGGGATTTGCTGCTCACATCAAGGCGAGCTCCTGCCTCAGAACCAAGCTCATGGATGCCTGCATTCCCGCTGATCCCACAGCTCCACACCACACACACCTCAGAGCACAGACTCCACCAAGCTCCCCTCCCTCAGTGCTTCACGTGTGTTAAAACCCAACGCCAACCCCAGGGCTCTGGGACTTTGCACAGCCACACTGTCCTGTACTCCACCCAGCCCCAGCCAACACCTCCAGCAGATCTGCCCTGAGCCCCAGGGGCACCATCCCAAATTCCCCTCAGTACTGTCTCCCCAGCCAGCCTGACAAGGAATGACCTCAGAAGTAACTTCCAGATCAAGGAGAAACCTCCCCTATTCCCATCACAAGCTGGTAGTAGGGCAAAGGGGGAAACTCAGACTTCTAAAATAAATTATCACCCCAAACCTGCTTTCATTATCTAAGCTCATAACCTTCAGGAAAAACATGGAGTAACAAGCAGCACACGGGTAATTTATTAATAATTACTGATGACACCGAGCTGGTGGTGCAGTCAACACGCCAGGGGAAGGGATGGAGCATCCAGAGGGACCTGGAGATGCTGATGGAGTCCATGAGAACCTCACGAGGCTCAGCAAGGCCAAGCGCAAGGTGTTGCACCTGGGTCAGGACAACCCCCAGAACCAGCAAAGGCTGGGGGACGGATGGACACACGGACAGAAATTATGAGCTGCTCCAGGCTGGGAGAGCTGGGATGTTTCCCTGGAGAGGAGAAGCTCCAGGGAGAGCTCAGAGCCCCTGGCAGCACCTGGAGGGGCTCCAGGAGAGCTGGAGAGGGACTGGGGACAAGGATGGAGGGACAGGACACAGGGAATGGCTCCCACTGCCAGAGGGCAGGGATGGATGGGAGACTGGGAATTGGGAATTGTTCCTGGGAGGATGCTGAGGCCCTAGAATAGAATCCCCAGAGCAGCTGTGTCTGCCCCTGCACGCCTGAAGTGTCCCAGGAGGCTGAACGGAGCACCCGGGACAGGGGAAGGTGTCCCTGCACAGGACAGGAGCTGGGACTGGAGGGGCGCTGAGGCTGCTTCCAGCCCGAACCACTCTGGGACTCCATGACTGGCATTTTACCTGCACAGCTCTCACAGACAGCGAGGGTGTTTGGTTCCTGCGTGGCTTCATTAACACCTACATTAATTAATTTAGTGCTCTAAATGACAAGTATCTCTAGAACAGCTCGCCGGCCCGGAGCAGGGCCCACCAGCGGGTTTAACGCACAGCTCTGTGTTTATTCCCCTCACGGGAGCACGGACACACCGCGGGAACAGAGCTCGGCCGCTTCTCAGCGGCGGATTCTGGAGCCAGAGCCGTGAGGGGCGGCGGGCAGCGGGACCGGGAGGTGGAAGGGCCGAAAGCGGCTCCGCTCTGGAACCGGCCGCAGCCTCCATCTGCGGGGGCCGTGCCCCTCCCGGCGTGCCCCGCCGCTCCCGGCGGCCCCGGCCCGTCCCTCCCGCCCTCTCTCAGCGCCCTCTCACCGCGTCCGGGCGCTCCGGGGAGGCCCCGAGCAGCTCGTTCAGCTCCGCGAACATGGCGGGCGGCGCTGAGGGGCCGCGCCGCGCGGGAAGCGCCGCGGCACCGCGCATGCGCCGGGCGGGGGCGACCCCTGCTGGCGGGGTGGGGCCGCAGCCGCCGTTGCCGCCCCCCGCGTGCGCGGGCAATTAGCGGGGCTGGCGCTAATTAACGGGGCTGGGCGCTAATTAACGGGGCTGCATCGGCAATTAGCGGGGCTGGGCCCGTGTCCCACCGTCCATGAAAGCGGCTGGATCCTCACCCGTGTGGTTAATTAAAGTGCTAAATGGGACTGGATCCTCATCCCGTCATTAATTCATGGGGCTGGATCCTTATCCCATCATAATTAATAGGGCTGGAGCCACATCCCAGAGTTAGTTCATGGCACTGGATCCTCATCCCATCATAATTAATGGGACTGGATCCCCATCCCGTCATTAATTCATGGGGCTGGCTCCTCATCCCGTTGTTAATTAGTGGTGCTGGATTCTCATCCCATCATTAATTCCTGGGGCTGGATCCTCATCCCACCATAATTAATAGGGCTGGATCCCCATCCCGTCATTAATTCCTGGGACTGGATTCCCATCCCGTCGTTAATTAATGGGGCTGGCTCCCCATCCCTTTGTGAGTTCATGGGGCCAGATCCTCACCCCGTTGTTAATTCCTGGGGCTGGATCCCCATCCCATCATTAATTCATGGGGCTGGATCCCCATCACGTCATTAATTAATAGGGCTGGATCCCCATCCCATTGTTAATTCCTGGGGCTGGATCCTCATCCCGTTGTTAGTTTGTGGGGCTGGATCCCCATTCCATCACAATTAACGGGACTAGATCCTCATCCCATCAAAATTAACAGGGCTGAATCTCTATCCCATCATTAATTAATGGGGCTGGATCCCCATCCCATTGTTAATTCCTGGGGCTGGATCCTCATCCCGTTGTTAGTTTGTGGGGCTGGATCCCCATCCCATCACAATTAACGGGACTAGATCCTCATCCCATCAAAATCAACAGGGCTGAATCCCCATCCCATCATTAATTAAAGGGGCTGGATCCCCATCCCATTGTTAATTCCTGGGGCTGGATCCCATCCCGTCATTAATTAATAGGGCTGGATCCCCATCCTGTTGTTAATTAATGGGGCCGGATCCCCACCCCATTGTTAATTCATGGGGCTGTCTCCCCATCCCATTGTTAATTAACGGGGCCGGATCCCCCTCCCATCATTAATTAACGGGGCTGTCTCCCCATCCCGTTGTTAATTAATGGGGCTGGATCCCCATCCCATCATTAATTCCTGGGGCTGGATCCCCACCCCGTTGTCCCCAGGGCCCCCGGCTCTGGTCTGTCCCCAGCAGCCTTGGTGGCACTGCCACCCCTGACCCCGCTCACAGGGTGCCACCTGTCCCTTTCCAGCCCCCTGTGTGCGGGTTTAATCCATCTGGGACGCTTTGGGACACGGGGGATTTGTGAGGGGTCTGTTGCTCTCTCCCAGTTTCCTGTTCCAGCACATTTGGGAAGTGCTGAGCACGCTGAAAATGATCTGCAGGAACAGCAAGTTACAGCCCACAACCACCAAACCCCACCTTCTTTGGTGCCATTTTTGCCTCCGAGCCCAAAACTGAGCTTTTTGGTACTTAATTCACCTTTCCCTCTGCTCCAGCAAAGCTTTTGTAACCTTTTGTCATGAGTTTCATCATGGGAACTGGAGAGAGGATTCAGGAGCCAGGGGTGTGCCAGGGGGCTGGAGAGAGGATTCAGGACCAGGGGTGTGCCAGGGGAATGGAGAGAGGATTCAGGAGCCAGGGATGTGCCAGGGGGGCTGGACAGAGGATTCAGGACCAGGGGTGTGCCAGGGGAATGGAGAGAGGATTCAGGAGCCAGGGATGTGCCAGGGGACTGGAGAGGGAATTCAGGAGCCAGGGGGCTGGAGAGAGGATTCTGCAGCCCGGGATGTGCCGAGGGGCAGCTGCAGGGAAGATTCTGGAGCCCGGGATGTGCCAGGGGTCTGGAGGCCGGGAGGCTGCCCTGTGGGCATTAGGGGGCATCCCGCGATGGGATCCGGGCACGGAAGGAGGGGCTGCAGCCCCTGCATCGCTGCCAGGAGGGTTTGGCGGCACCACGGCCGTTCTGCTGCCCTCATTCCCCGTGTCTGGCACTCCCCATCCTGCTCTCCAGCCCGGCCGGGGTCTCTGGCCTGCCCTGCCTCTCCTGCTCCCTTTGGTGCCTCCCCTCCTGCAGAAGCTGCGGCTCGAAGCTTCTTTTAGGAGCCCTTTAGGATCGCTTTGCTTTTGTCCCCGCAGCCTTGCAGGGCACTGGAGCCCGCTCGGAGCCGGGCAGTGGGGTGTGCCAGGGGGGCTGGAGAGAGGATTCTGGAGCCCAGGATGTGCCAGGGGGCTGGAGAGGGGATTCTGGAGCCTGGGGTGTGCCAGGGGGGCTGGAGAGAGGATTCTGGAGCCCAGGATGTGCCAGGGGGCTGGAGAGGGGATTCTGGAGCCTGGGGTGTGCCAGGGGGGCTGGAGAGAGGATTCTGGAGCCCAGGATGTGCCAGGGGGCTGGAGAGGGGATTCTGGAGCCTGGGGTGTGCCAGGGGGGCTGGAGAGAGGATTCTGGAGCCCAGGATGTGCCAGGGGGCTGGAGAGGGGATTCTGGAGCCTGGGGTGTGCCAGGGGGGCTGGAGAGAGGATTCTGGAGCCCAGGATGTGCCAGGGGGCTGGAGAGGGGATTCTGGAGCCAGGGATGTGCCAGGGGTCTGGAGGCCGGGAGGCTGCCCTGTGGGCATTAGGGGGCATCCCGCGATGGGATCCGGGCACGGAAGGAGGGGCTGCAGCCCCTGCATCGCTGCCAGGAGGGTTTGGCGGCACCACGGCCGTTCTGCTGCCCTCATTCCCCGTGTCTGGCACTCCCCATCCTGCTCTCCAGCCCGGCCGGGGTCTCTGGCCTGCCCTGCCTCTCCTGCTCCCTTTGGTGCCTCCCCTCCTGCAGAAGCTGCGGCTCGAAGCTTCTTTTAGGAGCCCTTTAGGATCGCTGGAGCATCGCTGCCGGGAGGGTTTGGCTGCGGCACCGCGGCCGTTCTGCTGCCCCCATTCCCCATGTCTGGCACTCCCCATCCTGCTCTCCAGCCCGGCCCGGGGTCTCTGGCGTGCCCTGCCTCTCCTGCTCCCTTTGGTGCCTCCCCTCCTGCAGAAGCTGCGGCTCGAAGCTTCTTTTAGGAGCCCTTTAGGATCGCTTTGCTTTTGTCCCCGCAGCCTTGCAGGGCACTGGAGCCCGCTCGGAGCCGGGCAGCAGCCCGAATTCCTCCCGGGACAGCCTGGCCCGTCCTGCCTCGGGAGCACGGGGCTTGTGAGAGCCCGTTCTGCCGGTCCGGGGGTCACCGGGCCGGGCAGCTGCTGGGGGTGTCCCCGGGGCTGTCCCTGGGGGTGTCCCCGAGGTGTCCCCGGAGCTGTCCCTGCGGGTGTCCCCGGGAATGTCCCCGCAGGTGTCCCCGGGGCTGTCCCAGGGAATGTCCCCGCAGGTGTCCCTGAGGATGTCCCCGCAGGTGTCCCCGGAGCTGCCCCTGGGGGTGACCCTGGGGGTGACCTTGGGGGTGTCATTGCAGGTGTCCCCGGAGCTGTCCCTGGGGCTGTCCCCGGAGCTGTCCCTGCAGGTGTCCCCGGAGCTGTCCCTGCAGGTGTTTCCGGGAATGTCCCCGGAGCTGTCCCCGCGGGTGTCCCCGAGCTGTCCCCGGAGCTGTCCCCGCGGGTGTCCCCGAGCTGTCCCCGGAGCTGTCCCCGCGGGTGTCCCCGGGAATGTCCCCGGAGCTGTCCCCGCGGGTGTCCCCGGAGCTGTCCCCGGAGCTGTCCCCGCGGGTGTCCCCGGGGTGTCCCCGGAGCTGTCCCCGCGGGGGTCCCCAAGCTGTCCCCCTGCCCGCATCCCTCCCCGAGCGGGGCCGCCCGGGCTCCTTGTGTCGCGCTGTTTCCCTGCCCGTGGCCCTTCCCCCGGCTCTCCGGGGGCCGCAGGGCCCGAATGCCCCCTAAATTAAAGACAAAATGCTCTCTTCTCCTCGCCACCGAGGGCAGGGCACCAGGGCCGCGCGCAAAGGCAGCTGCACCCCCCAAACTCCCCTTGTCCTTCCCCAGACGCTCCTGCCCACGTCCCAGGGCTCGTTACCGTGAGAGGCAGCGGGGCTTTGCTGTTAAAAGGTGCCCCTTCCCTGCGCCTGCTCCGAGCCCATTCGCAGGGTTTATCGCAGAGCTGCTTCCCACAGGAGCCAAAGGGGATCCAGAGCTGTCCACGCCGCTTCCAGTGAAGCCCCCGGGGCAGAGCAGTGCGTGAAAAGCAATTCATGCCCAAAGGTGGGAAAAACCCACTGCAGAACAGATAAAACCAATGAGTCCTGCAGTGTTTGGGGCGATTCCCAGGAGCCTGGCAGGGAAGGGGAGCTGAACCCACCAGGTTTCACGGTGTGAGTGTGTGGGAAATGATTTTTTTAGGGAGAAAACACCTTGATTTACCCCCTGTGATTGTTGCTTTCTGCTGAGCTATCCAGGGTGGATTTTAGTGCACAAATCCCACTCCCCCCGGCAAAAGGAGGGATTTCTCCTCCCGGGACACCTCGGCTGTTGCTGACACAATGCCGAGCGCTCTGCAGTCATAAAGGATGGCCAGAGTTGTGGGGCCGGCGAGGGTTAAGGGAGCAGATGCCGGAGAGTCAATGGCCAGGGAAGAAAAGAATGGGACACGTTCGGGATAAATCCCACCTCCCCAGCGCCCGCCCTGGCGCGGCAAAGAGCAGCTGGGAGGAATAATGGATGAGCTGAACCAGGTGCTGCATTTCTCTGCAGAAAATGAGTTTGAAAAGAGCTGCTGAGGCAGGCGACAGCTCCCTCCCTGTTCCTCCAGCCCTCCTGCCTTCCCACAGCCCTTCCCTCCAGGAAAAAGCAGGGCAAACCTGTCTCTTTTGGACCTTCCCCTCTCCTTTGTCCGGGCAGGGTTGGGAAAGTGCTGCCGGTGAAAGCAAATCCTGCAGGGATTCACAAACCTGTGCTCTGTCATTCTGCTGCACATCGCGGATAGCTCGGGTTGGGTGC